ACTTTGTCAGCGGAAGCAAACCATGTTGCTTTCAGTATTTAGTGTCGGAGAACCGCAGCCTTCTTTACAACGCCCACAATAGGGCTAATGCGCCACCTGCTGTAAAACGAATGAAATGATTAGTTCAAGATTCGTTCACGACTCGTTCATTTTACTTTTCGAGAGTCAAAGATTCGAATCAATAAAAAGAGTCGGTCTTTCCATCACTACTAACCAATCATAAGGTAGTCTGCTCTGGGTGACGACAGACCTGGGCGTCTGCCATTGGCTAGCTAATTTGTCATAGAGTCTATAGCCATTCAGAGTGCAGAATGCGTCCTGTTGACGGTATAACTGTGAACTAAGAAAAGCACGGAAACTGCTGCTCTTGCGTGTAAAGTCGCCCGAGAACGTTGAGGAACGGGAACCAGCAAAGCCCCAACAGCATCTAGCATTTATTTATTGATAGAATACCCAGGTGGACAACCATGGCATCAGGAGGGGAGTAAGTTGACGTTTATATTTGCTGAACAATGACTTAACGTCAGCGTTTTGTTTTAGTTTTGTTGGAGATAGCGCCACTGCTGGGTTTGCTAGCGTCGGAGTTAATTGGGTCACTTTATTTTACCCAACGCGTTGTATTTTTAGAGAACCACAGTAATGCAAATTTGCTGAAACATTGATGATATTTGTGTGATATACCCCCCGATGTTGAAATGTGGCCAGACAGTAACCAGCACTGTGTTAACTAGTTGGGTGACAGCGACTTGACAAAGCGCAGTCATTGCTGTCGTGTTTCAATACTAATGTTAGCTTGGCATAAGTGTCAAGGCCAAATCCATCCACCGTCACAACGAGAAATTGGCCTTAACCACAGGCAAACATTTAACGTGAAATGCTGTCGTTATACTGAACGTATAGAACAAAATATAAACAATACGTGAAATATTTTTAGTTGCCTTTACGAGTAAAAACGTTGGTTAATATACTGCTAATCATATGTGGTGCTGATTGCGATGTAGCGAAGCTAGCAGGCTAACAGCGCTCGTGATTCGTTTAAAACGACCGTGAATTTATTCGTGCTTTATTTCAATGTTGGCTAAAAGTAAAAGAAACGTTCGAAGAAATTATACATGTGGAGCGTTTACAATGTTCCTCTTAAAATGTTAACGTTGGTATTCACAGGAGAAGCTGTATAAAGCTATTTTTTTTAATCCCTTAATTCTTTTGCTGTGTCATCTGGGCTCAGACGGTTAGCTATTAGCATGCTAACTATACGAAAGAGAAACCGCAATAGCGATCCAATGAGTTTTTATAAAGGTTGTATTAGTTATAAACACTCGTGTAAATATGAGTACAAACATTTTTTGTTTTATGTAACAACCGTTGTACTGAGTAAGTCGTGTTAAATACCTGTTAGCACTGACATACAGCACAATCCCGAATCTTTGTGTGTTTAGTTTTGATGGGGGAAAAAAAAATCAAACAAGGTGAAACAACTAATACATAAAACTGTTTTGTACACAAAACAGATTTAAATTTTTAACTGAAACGAGTGAACAGTGGCCACTGTAACTGCCCTTTGACTTATTAGTGTAAGAATTGTAATTTGGAAAATACGTGTTAAAATAATACATTTTGATGACGTTTAAGAAGTCATTTATTCGTCCAACAATAGGGAAAATTATGCTTTGACAAAAAAGAGACTTAATAATACGTTTTTAATAAAAATGACTAAAGTATTAACATTGGAAGTGATGGGTTTTATATTCATGAGCTTTGTTTTCAGATTGATTTGGTTACTGGTAAGTGTCAGGTATTGAGGCACTTTAATTTGAGTGTTTCTTAATCTTCTGAATTTTATGATTTAGGTTATTATAAATAATTGTTACAGAATTATATTAACAAATGTACACAGATGGGACGATCACATTCACAGTTTTATATAATATGAACACTAATTATATGCCCTGAAAAGTTTAATTTATTGTGTAATGTCAAGTTGGTTAATTATTTACATTAACCACTTCAGCTGAAAGGTGTCCTTTAAGAGAGTTAGCCAAGGGGGTGTTCACTTTCCTTGTAGATGTTGCCTAGAAACAAAACACAATCCATCATGGGTGGCTTTGGTCAGGGTTATCAGTTGAGAAAGTTTTGTTTTCTTGCGCACTTTCTTATTCATTTGGTTATTAGTCAGATTTATCAATATTATTCTTATTACAGATCCAAAAGTGATGATCTAGCCACTGCAATTCTGAAACAGAAGAACAGACCCAACAGACTGGTTGTTGATGAATCCATCAATGAAGACAACAGTGTGGTCTCTCTGTCACAGGTGAATATTTTGATAACTAGTGTATTTAAAAGGTTGCAGACCTATGTACAGTTGGGTATTCGTATTTGCAGACTCAATATGGTCACAAAAAATATAAAACACACTTAACACTGACAGACGTTATAACCCTACATATTACTCCTTCCTGTATATATATATATATATATATATCCATATATATCTATCCATATATATCCAAATGTAAATGTGATAAACCAAAATGTAAGTGAGACATCATTGTGTCTTTAGACCAAGATGGATGAGCTGCAGCTCTTCCGTGGCGACACAGTTCTGATGAAGGGAAAGAAAAGGCGAGAAACTGTGTGCATTGTACTGTCAGATGATACCTGCTCAGATGAAAAGGTCCGGATGAACAGAGTTGTCCGTAATAATCTGAGGGTCCGTCTTGGTGATGTCATTAGGTGAGTAAAGATGCATTCAGTTACATTGGAACTTTGATAACAGTTAAAAAATACTCCTTAGAAAAGTTTTATTGCGTTAAAAAAACAGTGTATCTGCGTTATTATATATTTTCGTTATATTAGTGGTTCATTTGTTCTCAAAGTATTGTTGACAAGATAAAATATCATCAAACGTCAAAGAACTGATTTTAACTCGACATTTTCTTCAGTATTCAGCCATGCCCTGATGTGAAATATGGAAAGAGGATTCATGTCCTCCCTATAGATGACACAGTTGAAGGAATTACTGGTAACCTGTTTGAAGTTTACCTCAAGCCATACTTTTTGGAGGCTTACAGACCAATACGCAAAGGTGAGTACAAAGTTAACTTAAATTAAGTTTGCCTGAATTATCTGTAGCATCTCTGTTCAAACTAACAATCTCTTACATTGTGGAAGGCGATATCTTCCTGGTCAGAGGTGGCATGCGTGCTGTGGAGTTCAAAGTTGTAGAGACTGATCCCTCTCCATACTGCATTGTTGCTCCCGATACAGTCATCCATTGTGAGGGAGATCCAATCAGGAGAGAGGTGGGTGGTGGGTTGCCATGCAGTGTTTCCTGGCAATCAATAAAGCACATTAAAATTTAATCCTTTTGATTTTTGGATGCTCAGGATGAAGAGGAATCACTGAATGAGGTTGGCTATGATGACATTGGAGGTGTGAGGAAGCAGTTGGCTCAGATCAAAGAGATGGTGGAGCTGCCTCTTAGACACCCTGCACTGTTCAAGGCCATAGGAGTCAAGGTATGACACGTACACTTTTTACATGTTCTTCAGTCCATAATCTTTTTGTATATCAGAGTATATGCAACAACTTAATTTTAAATAAAATAAAGGTTATTATGGAAAAATTTCACTATATGAATGTCGTACTTTCTGGCAAGTAGGGGGCAGAATAGGGCTGAAAAGTAATCTATACAGGTAACTGTCTACAACTGTAATGTCCTACAGATAAGGTTGGAACGTTCTGTTAGGCAACTGGACGTAAACTACTTCCAGTTGCCTAACAGAACTTTTCAACCTTGACCATGACCTGGATGACTGAGAATCTTCATAGACATGTTTCCACACACTTTGGGATGGATACCCTCCACCTGGTGCGGGAGTACAAGAAAAGTTCCAGAAACGTCCAGTTGCCTAACAGAACTTTTCAACCTTGACCATGACCTGTATGACTGAGAATCTTCATAGACACGTCCTACAGATAGTTTGCCTAAATGAACACAGTTAGGATTTTTATTTGGAAAAAAATATTCAAAATGTCTTTGCTTGAGTGCCTCCACACAAACAGTAGAGCAGAGGGTGAAAACCACAGCTGCAGCTAGGTGGTTTGAAAGACATTGGATGACTACTTCAGAAACTTTTATTTTAATACCCAACATCCAAGTCCAATAGTGCATGAGTTAGTGAGTAGTTACTTTTGGGTATTTTTTAACTTGTTTTTCAATTGTACTGTCAAGTCTTCTGCCCCTAACACTGAGTCTAAGGGTGTATTAAGTGGTAAATCACATTGTGTTAAGCAATATCTTTGATGCAGTATGAATGAAGTAAAAGGGAATTCTTCAAGGGAATATTAAAACATTTCGTTCTCCTTACAGCCCCCTCGTGGAATTTTGCTGTATGGACCCCCTGGAACAGGAAAGACCCTGATTGCAAGAGCTGTGGCCAATGAAACTGGAGCTTTCTTCTTCCTAATTAATGGTTTAAATACAATTTTTAATTTTTTTTTCCCTTTACTTTTTTTTTAGACATTTTAATCGACAATTGCTACTCCTGTGTTTTGCTTGAGGGGAATCCATGGGTTTTAATTAGTTTATTAATAACAATACCAGAAAGTATTTTGTTTAAAATTCAAATGCTTTGATCTCCATTTTTATTTTAGGCCCTGAAATCATGAGTAAACTGGCAGGAGAGAGTGAGAGTAACCTGAGAAAGGCTTTTGAGGAAGCAGAGAAGAATGCTCCTGCCATTATCTTCATCGATGAGCTGGATGCCATTGCTCCAAAGCGAGAGAAGGTGAGATGGAAAAGAATGAGTGTGCTATTACGGTCCTATTTTTTTTTTATATATATATATTATTCTCTTAACAGTAAGAGTGCATTTGTTTAGCTTTTAAATGTTGTTCTTACATGCCTAATGTGTGGTTAAAGTCTCAAATGTGAATGTAATGTTTTATTTATAGACTCATGGAGAGGTGGAGAGGCGTATTGTGTCTCAGCTGCTGACTCTTATGGATGGCCTGAAACAAAGAGCTCATGTCATTGTAATGGCTGCCACCAACAGACCCAACAGCATTGACCCAGCTCTCAGGAGATTTGGTAGGTTTCCTGTTGTGAGCATCCATTCTCGTCTAATCATTTGTCACAAAGGCCAGATTTTTATTTTTTTGTGCTCCGTATTCAACAAAGGTATTTCTAAAATGTTAACTCAAAAGTTGTCCAAACCCATAGTTAGTCTAATGTTTAGCAAAAACAAAATGATTTAAGTCCGTTTTTGATCGTAATGCCCCAAAACATCAAACAGAATGTAGCGCATTGCTATTATTGCTTTTTGTGATGTGTACTATACATGCTCTATATCGGGGTGTCAAACTCATTTCCACCAGGGGGCCACATCAGCAATGCAGTTCCCCTTAAAGGGCTGGTTATAAACGGAAGGCTGTATAGATCGGGGGTCCCAACCCCTGGTCCACGGACCAGTACCGCTCCATAAGTCATTTGGTACCGGGCCGCAGTGAGACACAGTGGGGAAAAAAAAGTACTTAATTTTTGCTAATTTACTTCATCCATTTACTTTCTTTATTTAGAGATAACGTTAGGTTTAGAAACTCTGCTGCATGGATTTAACTTGATGCTTTTAAAGCTCCCGCGGGCCACACAAAGCAGCTTGGCGGGCCGGATTTGGCCCTCGGGCCTTGAGTTTGACATACAGTGGATATAAAAAGTCTACGCACCCTTGTTCAAAGCCAGGTTTTTGTGATGTAAAGAAAAGACACAAACAGAAATCGTTTCATAACTTTTTCCACTTTTAATGTGACCCATAACATGTTGGCAATTGAAAAACAAACTTAAATCTTCACGAGGGAAAAATAACTTAAAATAACCTTGTTGCATAAATATGCACACCCCTGTATAACTGGGGGCATGGCTGTGTTTGGATTCAACCAGTTACATGCAAACTCATGTTAAATGGAGTGAGCACAAACCTGTTACCATGTAAAGTCCCTCTGACGAACCCCAAATAAAAATCAGCTGTTCTAGTAGTTTTTCATCACATTTTTGTAGCCACATCTTCTAGCAGAAGCCATGGTCCGCAGAGAGCTTTCAAAGCATCAGAGGGATCTCATTATTCAAAGGTATCAGTCAGGAGAAGGGTACAAAGCAATTTCGAAGAAGTTAAATCAACCATGGAACACAGTGAAGACAGTCATCAAGAAGTGGAGAAAATATGGCACAGCAGCGACCTTACCAAGAACAGGACGGCCGTCCAAAGTTGTTGAAAAAACAAGGAGAAAACTGATCAGGGAGGCAACCAAGAGGCCAACAGCAACACTGAAGGAGTTACAGGAATATCTCTCAACTACTGGCTGTGTTGTAGATGTGACAACAATCTCCTGTCTCCTTCATATGTCTGGGCTGTGGGGAAGGGTGGCAAGACGGAAGCCTTATCTCTCAAAGAAAAACATCCAAGCCAGGCTGCATTTTGCAGAAATACATTTGAAATCTCCCAAATGCATGTGGGAAAATGTGTTGTGGTCCGATGAAACAAAGGTGGAACTTTTTGGCCATAATTCTAAAAGGTATGTTTGGCGCCAAAACAAAACTGCTCATCACCCAAAGAACACCATACCTACAGTGAAGCACGGTGGTGGCAGCATCATGCTTTGGGGCTGTTTTTCTTCAGCTGGAACTGGGGCCTTGGTCAGGGTGGAGGGAACTATGAACAGCTCAAAATACCAGTCAGTGTTGGCATAAAATCTTTTGACTTCTGTCAGAAAACTGAAGAGGAAGTTTATCTTTCAACATGACAATGATCCAAAATCAACTAAAGAATGGCTTCACCATAATAAGATTGAGGTTTTGGAATGGCCCAGCCGGAGTCCAGACCTGAATCCGATTGAACATCTGTGGAGTGATCTGAAGAGAGCTGTGCATAGGAGATGCCCTCGCAATCTGTCAGATTTGGAGCAATTTTGCAAAGAAGAATGGGCAAATATTGCGACATCAAGATGTGCCAGACTCATAGATACTTACCCAAAAAGACTGAGTGCTGTAATTAAAGCCAAAGGTGCTGCAACAAAGTATTAGTTTAAGGGTGTGCATACTTATGCAACAAGGTTGTTTTTATTTTTCCCTCATGAAGATTTCAGTTTGTTTTTCAATTGCCTATTACATGTTATAGAGATTATTACACATTAAAAGTGGAAAAAGTTATGAAACGGTTTATGCTTGTCTTTTCTTTACATCACAAAAATGTTTTATATCCACTTTATGCTCTATATTGATCCTGCCATGCTGCTGAGTATTGACAAACTCTGACCTTTATCCAGGTCGTTTTGACAGAGAGGTTGACATCGGCATCCCTGACGCCACTGGCAGGTTGGAGATTCTGCAGATTCACACTAAAAACATGAAGCTTGCTGACGATGTTGACTTGGAACAGGTTTGTACACCCGGTTCACATGATGCATCACTGTAGTATTTCAAAGTTTTAATTACCACCAGTCTTGTTATTCTGCATACCAGATGATGTTAGCATTGAGAAGCAATGTGCACTTCATTTAACTAATATGAATATTACCAATTAACCCTTTGTCTTGTATAAAACTTTTTTTGTCTTTATCTTCTAGGTAGCCAATGAGACTCATGGACATGTAGGTGCAGATCTGGCTGCTCTCTGCTCTGAGGCTGCCCTGCAGGCCATCAGGAAGAAAATGGACCTCATTGACCTTGAAGATGAGACCATTGATGCAGAGGTCATGAACTCCCTTGCTGTCACCATGGATGACTTTAAGGTAAGATATCAGATGTGAAATTAAGTTTTTGGATGGGAGCAATCTGGATCTTCATTTTAATTACACAACCTTGTTGTGCAGTGGGCCCTAAGTCAAAGCAACCCATCAGCACTGAGGGAGACAGTGGTCGAGGTTCCCAACATCACCTGGGATGACATTGGTGGACTGGAAGATGTCAAGAGGGAACTGCAGGAGTTGGTGCAGGTAAAAAGATTCCAGAAGCAACACCTCATGATGTTCAGTCTGGACTGTCAATAATTGATTTGTTTTCATTCAGTACCCAGTGGAGCACCCAGACAAGTTCCTCAAGTTTGGTATGACACCATCCAAGGGTGTCCTTTTCTACGGTCCCCCTGGTTGTGGTAAAACTCTATTGGCCAAGGCCATTGCCAATGAGTGCCAGGCAAACTTTATCTCCATTAAGGGACCTGAGCTGCTCACCATGTGGTTTGGAGAGTCTGAGGCCAATGTCAGAGAGATCTTTGACAAGGTGAGAACATTTCTGTGACAAAAGGAGAAATGTATGGCATTGAATACTTTCTAAAACCACACTTTGTTAATTGCAGGCTCGACAAGCAGCTCCCTGTGTCCTGTTCTTTGATGAGCTGGACTCCATAGCCAAGGCCCGTGGTGGCAACGTGGGAGATGGTGGAGGAGCAGCTGACCGTGTCATCAACCAGATCCTGACTGAGATGGACGGTATGTCCAGCAAGAAGAATGTTTTCATCATCGGAGCAACAAACAGGCCAGACATCATTGACCCTGCCATCCTGAGGCCTGGACGTCTGGATCAGCTCATCTACATCCCTCTGCCTGACGAGAAGAGCAGGATCAGTATTCTGAAGGCTAACCTGCGCAAGAGTCCCATCAGCAAGGTGACACCTCTGCTACTCATAAGAGCATCTGCTTAAAGTCCATGTACTGTATAGCTCTGGTTAGGATGGTAAAATGTTTAATACCAGGAATTATATTTATTTTTGTACGTAGTCAGGTAAAATCTAATTGTCACACATTGTGATAAAAGTTGGGTTAATACATCAAAACTAAAACCTTTTGCCTCAGGATGTCGACTTGGACTTCCTGGCCAAGATGACCAATGGCTTCTCAGGCGCTGATCTTACCGAGATCTGCCAGCGAGCATGTAAGCTGGCCATCAGAGAGAGCATTGAGAATGAAATCCGCAAGGAAAAGGAGAGGCAGACCAACCCGTCAGCAATGGTTTGTGTGTAGTTCAAGGTTTTTATTTTAGTCTTGTCTTTACTGGGCTGCTGCTGACTATCACTTTTGTTTGTCGAACTTTTTGAAGGAGGTGGAGGAGGATGACCCTGTTCCAGAGATCAGGAAGGATCACTTTGAAGAGGCAATGCGATTTGCTCGACGCTCAGTCAGTGATAATGACATTCGTAAATATGAGATGTTCGCTCAAACGCTGCAGCAGAGCCGAGGCTTCGGCAGCTTCAGGTAGGTTTCCCTCCTGATTTTCTCAATCCAGAATTCATAAACCATGACAGTAGAGAAGTTGCATTTAGGGTGAAGTTGTGTATAAGGGTATGGCCTTACAAGTGAGTGTTAAGTGTGGGGTCCATGTTAGAGCTGAGGTAAGAAATTGTTATATTTTTTCAACAGGATGTAAAGGCTTAGCTTTAGCCTGTAGGTGCAATGGGTCAAGTGCTATTTAGGTGCACTTGATTTTATAACTCAATAACAAAAATCAATCTCATTAAAATTGTCTTAATTATGTTCTACCATTATTATAGTAAGATATTACTTACTGTAGTACATATATTCTACAACAATAGTATTCATAAACAATCCAAACAGTTACAGTTACAAATTAACACTGAAATACTGATGGTGTACAAGTGTATGTGACACCAAGTAAAGAGGTTAGAAAAGAAGAGATGGCGCATGCAATAACTCGGCATCTTTCAGGTTCCCCTCCAGTGCCACAGGTGGCAGTGGTCCCACCCATGGCTCAGGAGCAAGCGGCAGCGGCCCAGTGTACAATGAAGACAACGATGATGACCTTTATGGATAAGTGTACACTGTTCAACAGTGGTGGGGATCACACCTGTACAAATTCTCATCCGATTCCACATTTTTAGGACTTTGTGCTTCAATCATGTGTTCCTTTTTTGTAAGAGTTCTCTAAAAGAAAGCATGTAGCCATTTGGTTTTGCCCTGGCTTTGATGTAGGAGAGGGCATAGGGATGCTGAAAATTCTGGGGGGAAAAAAAGTTTTCCCGTTTGGGTTGGGAGGGAGAGGGATCTTACACTGTTCCAAGTTATTTTGCCAGTGATGTAGAGGTAGGACTTCAGTTAAATAAATGAATAAATAAACATTGAGTTTTTAAATGAAATTATTTGCTTGTGTTGTTACTGTCTCTTATAATTGAGGTAATTGACAGACAAGTTTTTGTTTACCTGGTGTTAAGAGATTTTTTTTTTTTAAGAAGGCATTAGGTTCTTGGGGATGTTTGAGAGATTGGATATTAAAAGATACAGAGAGCAAATGTGTATTTAAAGCTGGTGATTGCAGAGGCTTTAGATATATTCGGAAGTGTGTTAAATAAGTAATCACGTCATTCTGTACCCTGACACAAAAAAAAAAAACATTGCCTTTTAAATAAAATTCATGAGAGAACGCACAATCCTACGGAGCCCTTAAAGGGACATGGGGGGGGTGGAGAAACGTATCTCGTGCTCATGAGATACTTTCTCCAGTGTCTAACTGAGGTACCCTACGTTAATTAATTGCTCACCATATATACAGTACATACTGTATGTCACGCATAACATGCTGGTATCTTAGATTTCCCAACTGTAGGTACTGTACATGATAGTTTATTTTAATGTATTACCCTGTATGTATGTGTGGCAAAATGTCTTAGATATACTTTCTTGTGCGCATGAGATACGTTTCTCTTTTTTTTTTGTTTTTCTTTCCCCATATCCTTTTAGGGGCTACGTACAATCCTATGCAGAAAACGTGTGCACAATAATTTGGAATGCAGTGTATTAAAGTCTTAGTTTCTCTCAACCAACATGGATGGGATTCTGCTAAGATTGAGAAAGATTAAAATACAATAAATTGCAAATTACTTCCTCTTTTTAAAATAAACAATAGCATTTAATGTATTAAGGATTTGTTCAAGGTTATGTTCAAAATAAAATTACACAAAATGGAAGATGTTTATTTCATTTAGTCCACTCCTTGTCATTGTTGCTAGTGTTATTAGTTAATGACAAGTTAGCTTAAACTGAAGTGCGTTGGGCAGGAGTGACTGTCATAACAGGTGAGGAAAGCTGTGACTAATTCATGTTTTATATATGCACTATTGATATTCATGATTCAAGAGAACTGTAATATGAAACTAACTAACGAAACTAACTTAGGTGCAGCCAAAGGGGACTAACTATCAAGAACCCACTCAAATTGCAGGAGATTTTTCCTTAAGCTTAAAATTGAACAATATATTTAATTGATTAAAAACCAGTTCTTCCAGTCTTTCTCTGGTAGAAAAATCTGTTATTTAACCGGATTTCCCTGTGTTCTTTCGGAAAAAGAATATTAAAGACTTTACAGAAACAGACTTATTTTACCTCTCCTTGAATCGCAACCTTAACGTGGTGGAGGGGTTTGAGTATCCGAATGAACCTAGGAGCTATGTTGTCGGGGGCTTAACGCCCCTGGTAGGGTCTCCCAAGGCAAACAGGTCCTAGGCGACGGATCAGACAAATAGCGGTTCAACCCCCCCCTTTGTGATGAAGAAAATAATTAAATCAAAGAGGTTCACGTCGCCCGGATTGGCGTCACCGGGGCCCCACTCTGGAGCCAGGCCCGGGGTTGGGGCTCGCAGGCGAGCGCCTGGTGGCCGGGTCCTTGCTCACGGGACTCGGCCGGGCTCAGCCCGAACAAGCGACGTGAGTCCGCTTTCCAGTGGGCCCACCACCCGCAGGAAGGCCCACAAGGGGCCGGTGCCTTGTGATTTGGGTGCCGGTTGTGGGCGGAGACCACGACGGCCCAATCCCTGGACAACCACTCTAGCTATGGGGACATGGAATGTCACCTCGCTGGGGGGAAAGGAGCCTGAGCTCGTGCAGGAGGTTGAGAGATACCGACTAGATATAGTCGGGCTCACCTCCACACACAGCTTGGACTCTGGGACCCAACTCCTTGAGAGAGGCTGGACCCTTTTCTACTCTGGAGTTGCCCGCGGTGAGAGACGGCGTGCTGGCGTAGGCTTACTTATAGCCCCCCAGCTTGCCAGTCGTGTGTTGGAGTTCTCCCCACTGAGGGAGAGGGTCGCTTCCCTGCGCCTTCGGGTCAGGGACAGGTGCCTCACTGTAGTTTCGGCCTACGGGCCGAACAGCAGTGCAGAATACCCGGCCTTCTTGCTGACACTGAGAGGAGTACTGGACAGTGCTCCTCCCGGGGATTCCATCGTCCTGTTGGGGGACTTCAACGCCCACGTGGGCAACGACAGTGACACCTGGAGGGGCGTGATTGGGAAGAACGGCCTCCCCGATCTAAATCCGAGTGGTGTTTTGTTATTGGACTTCTGTGCTAGTCACAGTTTGTCCATAACAAACACCATGTTCAAGCATAAAGGTGTCCACCAGTGCACTTGGCACCAGGACACCCTAGGCCGGAGGTCAATGATCGACTTTGTAGTCGTGTCATCTGACATCCGGCCGTATGTATTGGACACTCGGGTGAAGAGAGGGGCTGAGCTCTCAACTGATCACCACCTGGTGGTGAGTTGGCTCCGCTTACGAGGGGCAAAGCTGGATAGACCTGGCAGACCCAAACGTATCGTGAGGGTCTGTTGGGAACGTCTGGCAGAATCCCCGGTGAGGGGGGCCTTCAACTCCCACCTCCGGGAGAGTTTTGAACAGGTCCCGAGGGAGGCTGGAGACATTGAGTCTGAGTGGACTATGTTCTCCACTTCCATTGTTGATGCGGCTGTCCGAAGCTGCGGACGTAAGGTCTCCGGTGCCTGTCGTGGCGGCAATCCCCGAACCCGGTGGTGGACACCGGAAGTAAGGGAAGTAGTCAACCTCAAGAAGGAGTCCTATCGAGCCTGGTTGGTTCGTAGGACTCCTGAAGCAGCCGAAAAGTACAGGCAGGCCAAGCGGACTGCAGCTCGGGCAGTCGCGGAAGCAAAAACTCGAGTCGGGGAAAAGTTCGGGGAGGCCATGGAGGAGGACTATCGGTCGGCCTCGAAGAAATTCTGGCAAACCATCCGGCGCCTCAGGAAAGGGAAGCAGTTTCCCACCAC